CCCCCCCAGAGAACCCTGTTATTGAGCACTACTTGGATGGAACAACCTACTAGACAAAAATAATATGAGCAGGAGCAAAAGAGATGCCTCTCAGGTTTACAAATTCTCTGTCTTTGGTTTTTGTTTTCTCACCTTGCAGTAGTAAGTTCATATATCCAGCTGCCTTTGATATGGTTGGTAGAGTAGATTCAGACGTGTGTCTATAAATAAGAAACTCACCTCCTCTGAGAGTGTATCTGTGAAGCAGACATGACAAATAGGCATGAAATAGGGATATAGTGACATACTGGCCTCAAATCAGGGACCCCATGGCAGGGGCAGGAGAGCTGGGCCGCCTTACGAAAACAACAGCTGGGGACAATTAGGGCATCACTCACGAGTTGGTATTTCAGGGCTTTTGGTAGAGAGAAGGCCCAGTTAGACCCAGTTGGCCAGGCTGTGCCCAGTGGAATGTCTCTCCCTGCACCCTGACCCTCTGGACGATGTACCCTGTCCTGGCAACAGGGTCCAGAAAGGGCTGGCCAGTAGGAAGCCCCCCTGAGTGCACTCTGGAGCATTCTATGGAACCCTAACAGGACAAGCAATTGTGCTGGATGCTCAGCTCCAAGTGTGTACATCTCTCCACTCACTGGCTGGGGAGAGAGCTAGGACTGTAGACAATTTGACATGCCCCTTAGTCACCAAGGTAACCGGGAGTAAACTTTTACTTCTTTGGCCACAGTTAGAAGCTGGTGGAGAGCAGACACTGTCAGCTCCTTGTGCTGGGCATTTAAATGCATCATTTCAACAACCCAGTGAGATGTACCATCATTGCCCCCGATTCACAGATAGCAAAACTGAGGCTCATGAGGGGTGGAGTAATGTTCCCAAGGTCACCTCACTAGTAATTGACAGAGCAGGGATTCAAACCTCTGTAGATCTCCTTGCAAAACTGTCCCTTCCTAGCACCCTCTCTCTCCCCAGAAGATGCTACCATGTGCTCTAATTCCAAAAGCAGTGACTTGGGAATAAATTAAAAATACCTTCAAGTCTGATGACTTGGGAATGGAAGTGGGCAACTCTAGTACATAACTTCCTGGGTTCAAATGCCCCATCTTCCACTTCTTAGCTGAGAACATTGGGCAGGTTGCTTAATTTATCTGTTCCTCAGCTTCCTTATCTACAAAATGGGAATAATAATATCTAATTCCATAGGGCTGTTATAAAGTTTAAATAAGTCAATCATGGCAAAATTCTTGGAACATAGTAAGAACCCATAATCATTAGTCATCATTATTATTTCTCCAAAGAAACTTAATCTGAGCGCCTTTCCACGACACTCCACCCAATCCCCTAGCAGCTCCAAAGTTTATTGCAGTGGGGTTTGACTTATATTTAATTGGTGGAAACAATGGAGAAAGACATTAAATACTTAATTGAACTACATAATAAAGCAATACAGGCAGATGAATGTCAGATAACCCAAGGTAATATGCATTAGAGATTAATTAAACCTGCTTCTGTCTGTGCATGCCTGCTGAATTAGCTATAATGACTTAAACGCTCTAACCAAAAAGTTATGCTCATCTAATTTTTATTGCGTTCATTATTCAGCATTTGCACTCCTCACCAACAAAAAAGCACACCCACGGTGTCCCATCTGCATTCATCTGCCACGAGTTAACACCCCATTCAGCAGCACATCTGTGGCTTCCTCGTTCTTTGAACAATTTAGTGTTACCCTGCACCTATGATAACATCCAGAGTCAGTATTCTGGACTGCCCTATCCATCTGTCACTCTTCTACACTCCAGCAACGTTCACGATAGGAAGGTGCCCAGGAGTGTTTAAGAATAAAGTAAAAAATCACAGATATTAAATAAGGAATATTCTTTTTAAAAACATACCACATGGGGGCGCCTTGCTGGCTGAGTTGGTAGAGCACGTGACTCTTGATCTTGGGCTTGAGTTTGAGCCCCACATTGGGTGTAGAGATCACTTAAAAAAATATTTAGAAATAAAAAATAAAAACAAAAAATAAAAGCATACCACACATTTTTCACTTTAGGGCATGTACTCAAGGATTAAAGCATGGCAAAAATATTTAAAAACAAGGGACTCTTTAGCTATAGGACAAAGGTAAAGACGATTTTTTTGAGAGAGAAGAAAAACATCCTCTCATTGGGTGGTGATGGTTATTGTCAAATTTAGGGAGAAAGAGTGAGAAATACTTCACTAACCTTGCGTTTGAAGTTGTTTTGTGTACATCTTTGTAAAATATATTCCTTATGGGGGGTGGAGGGGGTTATCAATGAAACCAGACCCAAGAAAATACATCTCTATCAATTTGAAAGTATTCATGTCCGAGGAATTGCTAATCTTCCCAGTACCATCAGAGCTAAGGGAAGGAAGGCCTAGTATCCTGGTTTCTCTGATAGGAAGCCTTGCTCAGGCAAGTTAGATGGCTTATCCAAGAGTGGGCACTAAGTTAACACTAGAATCTGTGAATCTCTCAAATCTATTACTACCCAACTGAGTGTTAATTTAACCAATGACTGTTTTCATGGTCCCCCCCCCCCGCCCCTTATCTATTGGTATATCTGATGAATGGTGGAGGGAGGGTCTATGTGGGAATTTGAGCCAAGAATGCAGGGACTGGTATCCATCTGGAAGGCAGCCAAAGCGATGAGCATTGCAGCCACATAGGAGCCCTTAAACATTTCACAGGTTCCTTCTTGATTTTCACAACGGATCCACACTCTCCCGTGTCTTTAATGGAAGAGTGTTGGGTTTGATCTCAGCTCCTCACAAACAACCGCAGGCCCGTTCCTTTTCCTAAAGAGAGCCCACCCGCCTCACCCCCCATGGCCCCTCTCTCTTGCACCATCCCAGGGTTGAGATTCCTTCCCTGAAGTCCTCACCAGGCCCCGAGCATTCCTCAAAGAAATTAGGATATCCCGTAGTAGGAACAAATAAAGGCAGAAGCTTCCAGGTGAGGTCCAAGGGTGGGGCAAGGTCATGGTAGAAGAATATAAATGGTGGGTCCAGCAACAGGGAATAACTTTTTTTTCTATCTTTGTCTTTTAAACATTTCCGCCTTGCAGCTCATCCAGGTATTATTGGAGGACAAGGCCACGGAAAGCACGGTCAAACTCAGCCTTCCTGTGGGACAAGAAGCCCTTGTAACCCTAAAAGATGGACAAAAATTTGTAATTCACATATCAGATGTACCCCAAAGCTCTGAAAATATTTTTTTTCAGGGAAAGCAATGCAATATATGATTATTTATTTGAATAGGACATAAGAAAACATAGATTTTCACTCTTAAAAATATATTAAATGCTAAAGCTTTTGTATTGGTAGGAAAGAAGATTTTATGTACATAATAGAGGTAGCATTGTATGTATTGTGTTTATATGTATTTCAAGGAGTTAGTTTTGATGAATCATATAAACTGATTTGGAGAATAATTTTTGACTCTGTTGCTTTTCTTCGGGGCTTTTCAGGTGTGTTTATTGGGAACTTAACAGAAGAGAAATTTGAGAAATCTTGCTGGGAGTAGAGAAATAGATCTCTAGAGAAAGATAAAGTTTGAAGAATACAAACTGATACCAGGAGTAGAAGGCCAATGGTAACATTTTTCTTCCCCTTGGTAGTGCCTTGATTGAAATAGAATTCGCAGGAAGATCCCCTCAGGCAGTGAGGAACAGACAAAATGCAATTTGATACCGACTGTTTGGCTTACACATTGGTCCATTAAAACATTCCTAAAGTGAGGTCGAATTTTGAACCCAACAGTGTCTGCAACAAATGATGATATCCTGCTTTGAATCACTTTTTATTCCTCTCTTTGTTGCAAAATCCTAAGAAATGTTGAAACTAAGAATAGAGCCTCATTAAACCAGATCAATTTTTATGTAACTGATTATAATATTTAAAAGGAATTTAACAATTCATGCTTAACATGATTTCTGGCATAAGTGGAGATAATAGAGAATATTTTATTGATCTCATGTTATTTAAGAAATGGATTAAATTTCCCTAAACGCTTGGAAATTTTAAAGAAACATTAAGAACTCTGTCTCTAGATCCATTAAGAATTATTCATCTTTATAGTTAAAGAAGTAATCATTTTTCAAGGCCCTCTCCCCCTACACTTAATATATTACATCATTACTTAAGCTCTCTGGGAGGAGTTGTTTGTCAAAGACTAACAAAGAGATATTCCTTTGCTCACTGTTCAGTGACCTTGCGTATCCTTTGTTTGCTTGCATATAAGTAGAGGGTTGGGAGACTGCGTCAAGGAACAAAGGTAGTACCAAGATGTATCAGTCTGGGAACAGTGAATTTTGTTTGCATATTTGGGGGTAAACTGATTAGCTGAGTACCAGAGGACATAACGTCCTTGAAAAAGCCAACCAGGTTTATCAAAGGCAACAGTCTGAATTGTTTGTCTATGGAGTTAGAAGTTAGGGTAGGGGATGAGGGTGGGTAGTAAGAAAGAGGAGCAGAAGGGGCTATTGGGACCCTCATAGTGTTTCCAGTTCTTGGCTGGGGGTGTGGCCATACAAGTGCGTTCACCTTGTGAAAATGTGTCATAAAGCTTATAATTTGATTTACTTCTCTGCTTTATGAAAATAGAAGGCAGGGCACCTGGGTGGCTCAGTTGGTTGGGCGACTGCCTTCGGCTCAGGTCATGATCCTGGAGTCCCGGGATCAAGTCCCGCATCGGGCTTCCTGCCTGGGGGGGAGTCTGCTTCCCTCTGACCCTCCTCCCTCTCATATGCTCTCTCTCTCTCTCATTCTCACTCTCTCAAATAAATAAATAAAATTTTTAGAAAAAAAATATCTTTTAACGATAGCAATAAGCCAGATCCCCCTCCCCTCAACCCTGCCCTGCTTTTCAGCTGAACATTAATTATCCTTCTTTCCTGGAAGACCAAAGACCTTGGGATTTGGAGCGTTCAGCTGAGTCACATGCCCTCCTGTCTCCCCTTCACGATCTCCCTGATGCCTGGCCTGCAGGTGCTACATTTCCAGCCTCTGATCGGCAGCTGGCTCCCATCCATACTCTGCCTCCACGTCTCCTCCCAGCCTAGCCCTTAACTGCCCCGTGTGCCAACCACAGGGGGCTGAGGGGCACATTCTCCAGCTCTGGGAATGGCACCTCTCTCTCTGTAGGATTTGCTTTTCTCCCACCTCACCCTAGATGGGCTTTAAGTTCCCTCCAATGGCTCAAGACGATTTAGCTATCTGTGCTTTCTGTCCCAAAAGCCACCTTGCTGGGGTTCACAGGTACAGAATGCCTGCCCAGGACCCCCCAGGATCTGCTAGAGGAGTGAGAAGGCCCCAGTACACAGAAGTTAAAAGCCCCAGAAAAGTTGGTAATTCCATAGTGATCGGTTTATCTGTCCATCTGTCTATCTAATTATTCATTTGGGGTTGTTATTTCAATGTAGGCTCTTGGCATCTGTTCCATTTGCTGCTTTTGGAATTTGTGACTCATCTACTTCAGTCATGCATAGAAGAGGAAGAGGAGGATGACGACGGGGGACATCTCAAGGAAAGGCTACCAGATGATCAGTCTCTTGTCCAGCCAGACCAGGCATCTTTCCACCCTCCAGATTCCTCACCATCTCAGGAGTATGAAAGCCCAAGTGTGGATTCACACTGGGTGACCCTGAAACACATGGGCCAGAGCCGATGTCCCATGGGTGTGAGCAGTGTGGTTCTCAGGGTCCTGGGCTTCCTGGTGGACAGTGACACGGGCAATAAGGTACAGACACAGGGGCCCCAGCTTCTGCAGTCTTTGCAAAGGACTAAGAACTATCACATGGTTAGGAAACCCATAAAGATCACTTTGTCCAAACGACGACACACAGCTCTAGATCCGTCTTTGCTTTGGGAGATTTTGCCAGAGGTGATTATAGTAGCTTATCTGTTGATCACTGGTTGGCTCAGGTTCGTGGTGCATAGATAGGTACATGGCACACTCAGAGGTGTGGAATATTTGGATGGCCTGGGTCTTGCCTTCCCACAACTTACCAGGGGTGGTTAGACTGACTGAGCTAACTAAACTTAGAGAGAAGCACTGAAAACACCGCTGGTATTTTGGATTTTGAAAAGATGGAATTGGGGTACATCCTGAAAGATATAAAAGTGAGAACTGCTGGGGCGCCTAGGTGGCTCAGTTGGTTAGGTGGCCAACTCTTGATTTCAGCTCAGGCCCTGATCTCAGGGTTGTGAGATCGAGCCCCATGTCCGGGTCCACACCGGGCATGGAGCCTGCTTAAGATTCTCTCTCTCTCTCTCTGCCCTTCCCTCCTTTAAAAAAAAGATTCTCTCTGCTTCTTCCCCCACCTCAAAAAAAAAAAAAGAATTGCTATTTATCTAACACCTACTATACACCCTTTATATGCATTATCTCAGAGCCATACAATCCTGCAGAGTATCTGCTCTTACCATTTTCATGCCATGGCTGAGGTAACTGAGGCTCAGAGAAGCTAAGTGACTTGCACAAAGTCACACAGCAAGTAAACAGTGGAACAGAGATTGGAGTCCTGGCCTGCCTGATCTCCAGTCCATTCTTCTCCCGCAACACGAGATCAGAGGAGGGTGATCCATGCCCCAAGGAGAATAGGACACAGGTTGCAGAGGTCAGAGAGGGGGCCCTCCCTGAGTGCCAGAAAGTGGAGCCAAACTGATGAAACAAGCAACTGCAACTCCTCTGTTGACCGAGGAAGCAGGGGTACCTGGTGTAAAAAAAAAAAAAAATTGCCTTAGTATTAATTTCTAAAATTTCTATACATGTTTGGAAGTTTAGCCACTTTGCGTAGTATTTCTTCCGCACCCTCAAGTTCCTTCCTCTTTTGAGAAGATGAGGAGTTGAGTTGAGTAGGAGACCCAGGCAGAGGCCTTGCCCTTCACCTGAGTTAACAGGGGTCTTGATCATGGAAATGAGTCACAGCTTGAAACTGTCCATACCCTACAGTCCCCACAATAACCACAACCTCCAAGGGACCTTTCCTTCCTGAACAAACTGTCATTCCAAGTACTCCAGAGTTCAGAGAACCCTGTTAATTTTTTTTATATAAAGATTTATTTATCTATTTTTAGGGAGAGAGTGTGATTAGGGGGAGGGGCAGAGGGAGAAGGAGAGAATCCACAAGTAGACTCCCTGCTGAGCGGGGAGCTCAACACGGGGTCAGTCCCAGGAACCTAAGATCATGACCTGAGCTGAAACCCAGAGTCTGATGCGTAACCAACTGAGCCACCCAGGCACCCCCCCCAGAGAACCCTGTTATTGAGCACTACTTGGATGGAACAACCTACTAGACAAAAATAATATGAGCAGGAGCAAAAGAGATGCCTCTCAGGTTTACAAATTCTCTGTCTTTGGTTTTTGTTTTCTCACCTTGCAGTAGTAAGTTCATATATCCAGCTGCCTTTGATATGGTTGGTAGAGTAGATTCAGACGTGTGTCTATAAATAAGAAACTCACCTCCTCTGAGAGTGTATCTGTGAAGCAGACATGACAAATAGGCATGAAATAGGGATATAGTGACATACTGGCCTCAAATCAGGGACCCCATGGCAGGGGCAGGAGAGCTGGGCCGCCTTACGAAAACAACAGCTGGGGACAATTAGGGCATCACTCACGAGTTGGTATTTCAGGGCTTTTGGTAGAGAGAAGGCCCAGTTAGACCCAGTTGGCCAGGCTGTGCCCAGTGGAATGTCTCTCCCTGCACCCTGACCCTCTGGACGATGTACCCTGTCCTGGCAACAGGGTCCAGAAAGGGCTGGCCAGTAGGAAGCCCCCCTGAGTGCACTCTGGAGCATTCTATGGAACCCTAACAGGACAAGCAATTGTGCTGGATGCTCAGCTCCAAGTGTGTACATCTCTCCACTCACTGGCTGGGGAGAGAGCTAGGACTGTAGACAATTTGACATGCCCCTTAGTCACCAAGGTAACCGGGAGTAAACTTTTACTTCTTTGGCCACAGTTAGAAGCTGGTGGAGAGCAGACACTGTCAGCTCCTTGTGCTGGGCATTTAAATGCATCATTTCAACAACCCAGTGAGATGTACCATCATTGCCCCCGATTCACAGATAGCAAAACTGAGGCTCATGAGGGGTGGAGTAATGTTCCCAAGGTCACCTCACTAGTAATTGACAGAGCAGGGATTCAAACCTCTGTAGATCTCCTTGCAAAACTGTCCCTTCCTAGCACCCTCTCTCTCCCCAGAAGATGCTACCATGTGCTCTAATTCCAAAAGCAGTGACTTGGGAATAAATTAAAAATACCTTCAAGTCTGATGACTTGGGAATGGAAGTGGGCAACTCTAGTACATAACTTCCTGGGTTCAAATGCCCCATCTTCCACTTCTTAGCTGAGAACATTGGGCAGGTTGCTTAATTTATCTGTTCCTCAGCTTCCTTATCTACAAAATGGGAATAATAATATCTAATTCCATAGGGCTGTTATAAAGTTTAAATAAGTCAATCATGGCAAAATTCTTGGAACATAGTAAGAACCCATAATCATTAGTCATCATTATTATTTCTCCAAAGAAACTTAATCTGAGCGCCTTTCCACGACACTCCACCCAATCCCCTAGCAGCTCCAAAGTTTATTGCAGTGGGGTTTGACTTATATTTAATTGGTGGAAACAATGGAGAAAGACATTAAATACTTAATTGAACTACATAATAAAGCAATACAGGCAGATGAATGTCAGATAACCCAAGGTAATATGCATTAGAGATTAATTAAACCTGCTTCTGTCTGTGCATGCCTGCTGAATTAGCTATAATGACTTAAACGCTCTAACCAAAAAGTTATGCTCATCTAATTTTTATTGCGTTCATTATTCAGCATTTGCACTCCTCACCAACAAAAAAGCACACCCACGGTGTCCCATCTGCATTCATCTGCCACGAGTTAACACCCCATTCAGCAGCACATCTGTGGCTTCCTCGTTCTTTGAACAATTTAGTGTTACCCTGCACCTATGATAACATCCAGAGTCAGTATTCTGGACTGCCCTATCCATCTGTCACTCTTCTACACTCCAGCAACGTTCACGATAGGAAGGTGCCCAGGAGTGTTTAAGAATAAAGTAAAAAATCACAGATATTAAATAAGGAATATTCTTTTTAAAAACATACCACATGGGGGCGCCTTGCTGGCTGAGTTGGTAGAGCACGTGACTCTTGATCTTGGGCTTGAGTTTGAGCCCCACATTGGGTGTAGAGATCACTTAAAAAAATATTTAGAAATAAAAAATAAAAACAAAAAATAAAAGCATACCACACATTTTTCACTTTAGGGCATGTACTCAAGGATTAAAGCATGGCAAAAATATTTAAAAACAAGGGACTCTTTAGCTATAGGACAAAGGTAAAGACGATTTTTTTGAGAGAGAAGAAAAACATCCTCTCATTGGGTGGTGATGGTTATTGTCAAATTTAGGGAGAAAGAGTGAGAAATACTTCACTAACCTTGCGTTTGAAGTTGTTTTGTGTACATCTTTGTAAAATATATTCCTTATGGGGGGTGGAGGGGGTTATCAATGAAACCAGACCCAAGAAAATACATCTCTATCAATTTGAAAGTATTCATGTCCGAGGAATTGCTAATCTTCCCAGTACCATCAGAGCTAAGGGAAGGAAGGCCTAGTATCCTGGTTTCTCTGATAGGAAGCCTTGCTCAGGCAAGTTAGATGGCTTATCCAAGAGTGGGCACTAAGTTAACACTAGAATCTGTGAATCTCTCAAATCTATTACTACCCAACTGAGTGTTAATTTAACCAATGACTGTTTTCATGGTCCCCCCCCCCCGCCCCTTATCTATTGGTATATCTGATGAATGGTGGAGGGAGGGTCTATGTGGGAATTTGAGCCAAGAATGCAGGGACTGGTATCCATCTGGAAGGCAGCCAAAGCGATGAGCATTGCAGCCACATAGGAGCCCTTAAACATTTCACAGGTTCCTTCTTGATTTTCACAACGGATCCACACTCTCCCGTGTCTTTAATGGAAGAGTGTTGGGTTTGATCTCAGCTCCTCACAAACAACCGCAGGCCCGTTCCTTTTCCTAAAGAGAGCCCACCCGCCTCACCCCCCATGGCCCCTCTCTCTTGCACCATCCCAGGGTTGAGATTCCTTCCCTGAAGTCCTCACCAGGCCCCGAGCATTCCTCAAAGAAATTAGGATATCCCGTAGTAGGAACAAATAAAGGCAGAAGCTTCCAGGTGAGGTCCAAGGGTGGGGCAAGGTCATGGTAGAAGAATATAAATGGTGGGTCCAGCAACAGGGAATAACTTTTTTTTCTATCTTTGTCTTTTAAACATTTCCGCCTTGCAGCTCATCCAGGTATTATTGGAGGACAAGGCCACGGAAAGCACGGTCAAACTCAGCCTTCCTGTGGGACAAGAAGCCCTTGTAACCCTAAAAGATGGACAAAAATTTGTAATTCACATATCAGATGTACCCCAAAGCTCTGAAAATATTTTTTTTCAGGGAAAGCAATGCAATATATGATTATTTATTTGAATAGGACATAAGAAAACATAGATTTTCACTCTTAAAAATATATTAAATGCTAAAGCTTTTGTATTGGTAGGAAAGAAGATTTTATGTACATAATAGAGGTAGCATTGTATGTATTGTGTTTATATGTATTTCAAGGAGTTAGTTTTGATGAATCATATAAACTGATTTGGAGAATAATTTTTGACTCTGTTGCTTTTCTTCGGGGCTTTTCAGGTGTGTTTATTGGGAACTTAACAGAAGAGAAATTTGAGAAATCTTGCTGGGAGTAGAGAAATAGATCTCTAGAGAAAGATAAAGTTTGAAGAATACAAACTGATACCAGGAGTAGAAGGCCAATGGTAACATTTTTCTTCCCCTTGGTAGTGCCTTGATTGAAATAGAATTCGCAGGAAGATCCCCTCAGGCAGTGAGGAACAGACAAAATGCAATTTGATACCGACTGTTTGGCTTACACATTGGTCCATTAAAACATTCCTAAAGTGAGGTCGAATTTTGAACCCAACAGTGTCTGCAACAAATGATGATATCCTGCTTTGAATCACTTTTTATTCCTCTCTTTGTTGCAAAATCCTAAGAAATGTTGAAACTAAGAATAGAGCCTCATTAAACCAGATCAATTTTTATGTAACTGATTATAATATTTAAAAGGAATTTAACAATTCATGCTTAACATGATTTCTGGCATAAGTGGAGATAATAGAGAATATTTTATTGATCTCATGTTATTTAAGAAATGGATTAAATTTCCCTAAACGCTTGGAAATTTTAAAGAAACATTAAGAACTCTGTCTCTAGATCCATTAAGAATTATTCATCTTTATAGTTAAAGAAGTAATCATTTTTCAAGGCCCTCTCCCCCTACACTTAATATATTACATCATTACTTAAGCTCTCTGGGAGGAGTTGTTTGTCAAAGACTAACAAAGAGATATTCCTTTGCTCACTGTTCAGTGACCTTGCGTATCCTTTGTTTGCTTGCATATAAGTAGAGGGTTGGGAGACTGCGTCAAGGAACAAAGGTAGTACCAAGATGTATCAGTCTGGGAACAGTGAATTTTGTTTGCATATTTGGGGGTAAACTGATTAGCTGAGTACCAGAGGACATAACGTCCTTGAAAAAGCCAACCAGGTTTATCAAAGGCAACAGTCTGAATTGTTTGTCTATGGAGTTAGAAGTTAGGGTAGGGGATGAGGGTGGGTAGTAAGAAAGAGGAGCAGAAGGGGCTATTGGGACCCTCATAGTGTTTCCAGTTCTTGGCTGGGGGTGTGGCCATACAAGTGCGTTCACCTTGTGAAAATGTGTCATAAAGCTTATAATTTGATTTACTTCTCTGCTTTATGAAAATAGAAGGCAGGGCACCTGGGTGGCTCAGTTGGTTGGGCGACTGCCTTCGGCTCAGGTCATGATCCTGGAGTCCCGGGATCAAGTCCCGCATCGGGCTTCCTGCCTGGGGGGGAGTCTGCTTCCCTCTGACCCTCCTCCCTCTCATATGCTCTCTCTCTCTCTCATTCTCACTCTCTCAAATAAATAAATAAAATCTTTAAAAAAAAAAAAGAAAAGAAAATAGAAGGCATTGCACACGTAATGGGGATTGTGTTGGAGGTTCCTGGTGAGAGAATGGTTAAGAAGCACACAAGATTTCAAGAGACAGTGAGCCAGGCTAGAAAGCCTCCGAGACCAACGAGCACCGATGTGGAAATGGGACTGCGCCTGCCATGTACATCTTTGTTTTTCCCACTCAATCCACCTCCCTGATGAGCTGAGGCAGGAGGCCGAGCAAGGAGACCAAGAATCTAACCACATCCTCCGCCCTCACCTCAGGCCTCAAGACCCAACACAGTTCTCAGCCAGGAGAGAGAAGACCGCTTTTATCCTTAATAAAGTTTGACATTTGGATTATTACATTGGATCGGACATTCTAATTACTCAATAGAGATGGTTCCTGTTTCATTCACGGCAAATTATGCTCAGAGACTGAGATTGTCTTTGCCAATAATTTATTTAAAGAAATTTCACTGCGGGAATTATAATTTATAATAATGATATGTCACAAGCCAGTCGCATCCAGGATAATGTCTCTTCATGAGCCAATAAAGAAAGAACATACTCCAAACCAGCGATAGATTAATTACATTACTGTCCCAGGCAAAAGGGAGATGAAAGAAAGAAAGTCCAAATTTTTTTTTTTTTAAAGATTTTATTTATTTGACAGAGAGAGAACACAAGCAGGGGGAGTGGGAGAGGGAGAAGCAGGCTTCCTGCCGAGCAGGGAGCCCGATGCGGGGCTGGATCCCATGACCCTGGGACCGTGACCTGAGCCGAAGGCAGACGTTTAACGACTGAGCCACTCAGGCGCCCCCAAGAAAGTCCAAATTTAATTGAGGGGTACGTTTCCACCAATTGGTTCTCAGAAGAGTCGGCTGAGCCACCCAAGAGCCGACGTCCAGCGGCCAGCCCAGATTGAAAGTGTCTTGTTGCTAGAGCACCATGCTAGCAGAGCCGAGGTGCTGGTGTTGGCGGGGAAGAGGCTCCCCACCAATGAGTAGCCTTGCCACAGCGGGAGCTAATGTCCAAGGTCTTCAAAGAGCTCTTTAGATCACCAAAGAGTAGCCTTGTCCAGACGGAACACTCTCGGTAAGTCTTTGCAAATGTTTAGTATTAACGGTTTCCTATCTATAAGCACTGAGCGCAGCAGCTTTGGGGACATCTTTTTGATATGGCCACCCAAATGTAAACCAAGTCACCCTTAGATCAAGACAGCTTCACTTATGCCATAAAGAAGTGGATTTGAAGTCATAACAGGTCTTATGATCGAGAGTGACCTAGTGGTCTATGATGTGAACATGAACATGAGCATAAATAGGAGCTCCCTCTGGCCCCTTCCCCAGACTTGGGTTTTTATCCAAGAGCCAGAAATAATTCACAGAGCGAATGGCAAAGATTGTTTTCTGCTTGCACCATCTATCACTTCACAATTTGGGCATGACAAACTAATCCTTAATGGCTTAAAACAGCCACACTATGTGTATTTTTCCTCACCAGTCCTCAGGTTGCTTGGATGGTTATGCTGATCTGGGCTGGACCTCGTGAACCTCAGCTGGGCTCACTCAGCCATCTGCCATGGAGGCAATAGTATTTTCTGGAACAGTCATCTGAAATAGAAATACTAATGAGACCGCGTACAAACAGAAATCTTCCCAGGGCCCATCACTAGTGTCAATATGGTGCTTGCAAAAAGAGAAGCACATCAAATAGCACATAGATCTTGGAACATAAAATTGCACCCACGATGATGTTAAATTGGAAGCCCACTAACATTCTGGCAGCAGACAGATCTTGCAAACACAGATATTTGATCTAAAATGTATGGCGATGTGTTCCAAAATTAAATATTTGTCATGCATATTCTTTTATCAAGTACTCTTTAAGCATCACGGATCATCATGGAACTAAACAGGCAAATTCCTGCTCCTCTGGAGTTTATATTCCTGGTAGAAGAATAACACTTAACTAATCAACAGAAGTCTGATATCTTAGGTAGTGATTGCTATTACTAAGTATAATACTAAAAATAACATGCAATAAGGGAGATAGTGATGGGGAGGCAGGTGTTACTTATAGGGTTCGCCAGCAAGGTCTCCTTCAGAAGGTATAATTTGAAAAAGAGAGCTGAAGAAAGTAGGAAAAAAGAAATTGTGAGAATCTTCTAGAAGGGTGGGACAATGAATCAGAGTTGTTGAGTAGCACTACCAGGCAGCCCCAGTGGCTTCTTGAAGTTAATGGCCATGAATTTAAAATTATTAAGGGATTTAAAATCAATTATCAGTTTCAGAAATATAGCAAGCTTGTTTATTTGAATGAATTTATCAGGTGAAAACTACTATCTGTATTGGGAAAAATAGAAAACATCTTCTTAAAAGCATCAAAAAGCTGACTAGATAGGAAAAAAAAAAAAAAATCTCCAGATCAAAATCTAAGAGAAAGTGGACTTTAGTGGGATAAGCCAAGCACCAAGTCTACTTTTTCCAATCTACATAACTTTGAACTTCAGGTTTGATGACCTCTTAGGGTGAAGAGAGCAGTAGCCGAATACCAGAACCCACCCAGGGTAGGGAGTCAAATAGCAGACCTCACAAATTGGAACATCCGAAGGGTTGTACACTCCAGGTAAGGGTGAGTCAGAAGTAAATGCGCCTCTGCCCTCTCCACCCCACCCCCGCTCCACATCCAGGAGGTTTCAAAGAAGGTTGCTGTGTGTATCAGCTCAGGGAGAAAGCTGTCACTCACTCTTCTCCCTTTCTCCCAGCCCCTAGCAACCACTCCTTTTATTGACAAATGGTATTCTATTGTATGGATAAACCACATTTCATTTATCCATTCATCATTTGATAGATATTTAGGTTGTTTTCCCTGAATGGAAACATAAATAATGTCATTTCCATTTGAATAAGGCCTCTACAAACATTGGTGTACAAGTTTTTGTGTGGACATACGTTTTCATTTATCTTGGGTATATATACCTACGAATGAAATGGCTGGTTCATATGCTAACTCTATGTTTAACATTTTCAAGAACACCCAAACTATTTTCCAAAGTGACTGCACCATTTTATATTCCCATCAGAAATGGGTAACGGTTCCACATTTTCACCAATATCTATCACTTGCCTTTTTGATCATAGGCATCCAAGTGGGTGTGAGGTGGTATCTCATTGTGGTTTTGATTTGCATTTCCCTAATGACTAATGATGTTGAGCATTTTCTCATGTGCTTATTGGCCATTTGCATATCTTCTTTGGAGAAATGTCTATTCAAATCTTTTGCACATTTTTTCTTATTTATTTATTTATTTTT